CAAAATTAACTGGGCATGTGTAATGGTTTTTCCAGAAGTGGTTACCATTCCCCTGTTTCTCCATTGTGCAGCAAATATGTGTACTGTATTAAATGCATAGGCACTATCGGTGTAAATAGTAACCTTTTTCCCTTTTCCCAAATGACATGCGCGAGTGAGAGCTATTATCTCAGCCTGTTGTGCAGAATAATTTCTAGGTAAAGATTCAGCTTCCAAGACGTCTGTCTCTGTTACAACTGCATATCCTGTAGCATTCGTACCATCAGGTTTTTTTTCTAGATGAGCCATCAACAAACATAGTCACTTCCCCATCTACTAAGGCTAGGTCTGTCAAGTCAGGTCTTGGCAACAAGTTTCTCAGTTTCAGTTATACAATCATGTGGGCTGCCATCTATTGCAATAGGAACCAGAGTGGAGGGGTTCAGAGTTGTACATTGTTCTATGGTCAGATTAGGCATATTTAACATGATTATCATACAAGATAAATGTCTAGCTGGTGACATGTAGGCCATTTTATGTTCAAATAACAGTATGGATACTGCATGCGGAACTCTTAGGGTTAAATCATGGTACAAAACTACTGATGCCGAATCCTGCACCGCCTGAGCTGCAGCTACCACAGACTGTAAACATAGAGGCATTGCTTGTGCTACCTCGTCTAACCTAGATGAATAATATGCAATGGGTTTGTTTTTATCACCATGTTTCTGAGTCAAGACCGATGTCATATATCCCTCCCTACAGTCCACCGTTTCGGTAAAAGGCCTGTCATATCTAAGAAAAGCTAAGACTGTTTGGGAAGTGAGCAACCTTTTTATCTCTATATATTGTTCCTCCGCCTCGGAGTTCCAAATTATTTTATCATGGGCTGCCATTGCCTTCCCATAGATAAGATCACTTAATTTATCAGTATGCAGTGCATAATGTGGTACCCAAGCTCTACAGTAGTTTATCATTCCCAAAAAGCTTATCATTTGTTTCTTGTTTAACGGTTTTGGTGCTTAAAGTATAGCAGTTTTCCTGGATGAGTTTAACGTTCGCCCCTCCTGAGTTATGGTATGTCCTAAGTAAATCACCTCACTCTGCCAGAGTTTAAGTTTCCTTTTTGCTTACTTTGTGTCCCTGTTCTGCCAGAAAGGTCAACAATTGGAGTGTATCTTTCTTACATCCCCCTTGAGTGGGATTAGCCAATATGATATCATCTACATAAATTAACATTTGGCTTCCTTCCTGAGGTTCAAACTTTCCCAAATTCCTAGTTATAGCCTGGGAAAAGATTGTAGGAATTTCCGTGTAGCCTTGTGGCATCCTAGCATAAGTCAATTTCCTTCCCTGGAATGTAAAGCCAAACCACCCCTGACTATCTGGATGAACTGGGATACTAAAGAAAGCATTAGCTAAATCAATCACCATGAAATAGGAATTCTCTGGTTTCAATTGGTTCAGCAATGTATGTGGATCTGGTACACATGGAGCTCTGGGAATTCTATTTTTATTAACACCCTGCAAGTCCATGACCATCCTCCAGTCGGCGCTGGGTGCTGCTTTTTTTAACAGGAAATATTGGAGAGTTGCATTGTGCCTCATCTCCAGGAATTATCACCCCTCCCTTAAGTAAATGCTCAAATGTAGGTGTTATCCCTTTTATTGCTTCTGGCTTCATAGGATATTGCTTTTGGTATGGCCTGTGATCGGATCGAGGAACCACTTGCACTGGAGCTACTCCCTTAATTAGCCCCACATCGGCAGGTCCTTGTGACCATAAACTGAACAGGATTGCTGCTAACTCATCTTCCTGTTCCTGAGTTAAGAAAATATCTTCCTGTCATTTGTTAAAACCTGTCTCTAGGTGGACCCCAGGTTGGGTTTTTGCTCTCCAATTCAACTTTCTCCTGTATCTCCCAGTGGAGTGGCTATGCTGATCCCCATTTGGTGCACTCTGCCAGTCAGTGATGATCTTACCCTGCGTTACCCATTTTCCTAGTGATACCCATTCCTCTGAAGGTTCTTTCACTAGGGAAACATGGGGGCTCCACCTTTCTCTGTACAGTCTCTGGCTTGGTGGTCCCAACCCCACCTCTACAGCTGCACATGTGTTATCCCAGTGAACCCATTTTAACCCAATTGTTCTTTCTGCGGTGTTGAACAATGCTTCCTCATAAACTGGGTCAGGGCCTGGGTGCTCATTATACCACAATGTACAGTGTAAGTCATCTACCGTCATCTTGGTTGGTCCAGTCACTAAATCATTCGTGAGGTCTACCAGTGATTTAGGTATGTCTGTAAGTCCCCCTCTCAGCAAATCCTGGCTATACCAATAGCATGGCTCTCCCTCTCCACTCACTACCATGTTATCCCTTACTACATATGCCTTCATACCCCTCTGTCGGTGTTTCAGCTACGTTCAACTGAGTCATAGCATCTCTTCCATGTAGATTAACTGGACACAGGCTTGATATCAGTACAGGTATGCATATTTCTCCTCCTGAATTTTTATGTTGTAAAGTCACAGGACCTGATAACCGCTCTATAAATTGATGGCCCAAGGCCGAGCGTACCAGCATTTTCCCCCCATTAATCCTAATCCCTTCGGGCCTGTCGGCTGCACAGATCGCTGTGCGACATGCCCCTGTGTCACACAATAATTTAATATTTTTCCCCAATACTGTTAAAGTGAGGTATAGTTTCTGTTCTTGCTGCAGCGCTAATTCAATTGTTGCCAATTCAAACACTTCACAACCCGGATCAATGGGTTCCTCAGCCTCCTTTTCTCCAATATCTGTACTACTATCTTCCCTTTGTTCTAATCATGCTTCATCCTCCCCCTCTGACTCCTGATTTCCTTTCTTTTTCTCCTCGTCTGCCTTTTCCTTTGTTTTTACAGTGTCGGGATTGATGCCTTCTCTTGTTACAGTAAGTACAAGGTACCTTACACTCTCTTATAAAATGACCGGTTTTATTAAAGTTGTAACACCTCCTCTCATCTCCTTCCCTATACTGCCTCCTCACTTGGTAACCCCCCTCTCTCTTCTCGGCTAGTCCAGGAATTGGTAAGGGGGGGCGGGAGGCAGTCACCAGTGCTAAGCTACGCTTAATCTCTTCTCCGGGCTGGGTCTGGCCACAATACTTAGTCCACATCACAAGATACATTTTCTCTTGCCAAACATCGAGGGAAGTATCTCCTAGCATAGCGTATCCAACCTTGGACAGAGGCAACCTCTATGTCCCCACATGCGTCCTCCATTGCCTGGAGAAGCGGCATGCGGGCATAGGGTTGGCGATCATACACTTTCCAGCGCCAGGCTGAGAAGAATTCCTCTATGGGATTTAGAAAAGGTGAATATGGGGGTAGGTACAAAACTACAAATTGTGGATGGGTGGCAAACCAGTTTTGGACCAGAACAGCCCGGTGAAAACTAACATTGTCCCATATAACCACAAATCTAGCAGGCTCCTGATCTGGATCAGGGACAAGCATTGTGTAAATTGCATCCAGAAAAGTGAGCATATGGCCAGTGTTGTACGGACCCAGTGTGGCATTGTGATGGAGGACCCCGTTTTGAGTGATGGAAGCACACATAGTTATATTACCCCCACGCTGTCCAGGGACATTGGTAATTGCCCTCTATTACATTTCTTCTGCGGCGCCTGGTTTTGGTGAGGTTGAAGCCAACCTCATCCACATCAATAAATTCTTGGCGAATTACATGGGCATCCATCTCCAATACTCTCTGTAACAGACTAAATGATATACAGATGAGTAAATATGGTATGTCTGAAGTACTGGAAGTAGTGTTGCATACACACCTCTACAAAGTCATGTCGCAGATTCTTGACTCTGTCAGAGTTTCTCTCAAATGGCATCTTATAAAGTTGTTACATCGTCACTTGGTGCCGTTGGAGGATGCGTTGTATGGTCGACAGGCTTACAGCATTGATGTTGTTAAATATGATGGCATTATTCAAGATATGCTCTCTTATCTCTCGAATCCTAATTGCATTGTTGGCCAAAACCATATTTATAATTGCAGTCTCTTGTACATCTGTAAACAAGCGTCCTCGTCCTCCATGATGTCTTTGCCTTTCCACTCTGTACAGAATTCAAACACAGTATGTGTTCAGCATAGGAACAGTAAACAATGTACAAAAAAATGTAGTACAGCATGATAACCAACCTCATTCATTCAATGCAGTGCAGTAAATGGATGGCTTAGAGTTACAAATGTTTATGCAATACTATGCAGTCATACGTATTTTACAGTACATTACTGTAATGCTAAAATAGTCATTAGATAGTTGCATACCTGTTCTCATTTCTGAAGGTTCTAATTATGGACGCCACTGTAAATCGACTCAAGTTGGGCTGGACTCTCAGTCCAGCCTCTCATGGTCAAACCGTGGTTGATCATATGATCAACAAGTGTTGCCCTAATCTCATCAGAGATGGCTCTCCTTCCTTCTCTTCTTTGCCCTCGTCCTCTTCTTCCTCTTCCTCTTCCTCCTACTCCTCCTCCTCCTCTTCGTCTTTGAATTTGTCCTTGTTGTTGTCCCCTGCCTCTCCCTCCTACTCCTCTTGCTCTCTGTCCATTGTTGGCATCCATTGTTCAAAACAGGTAATCTGACCTTTGACCTATTTATTTATTATCTATTTATAGGTGTTTGCATATGTGAGGAGTGTGTGTGTGACCTGGTGAATAAGTGTAGCATTTTGATTGGTTGTGTTTGGAAAAGGAAAGCAAGTCACTTCCTGTTAGATTTTTGTGTTTTAGGTAGAGAATTGTGTGTATCGTTTTGAAAAAAGTGTTTTATGCAATTGACAACTGAGTCAAAGGCTGAGAAATAGCTTATAGTTTTGGAGATTTGGTGTGTAGTTTTGCACTTTGAGTGAGAGGTTTCAAAAATCGTGTGACATGAAAAGATTTTGTGTAAGCAGTTGGAAAAAAACTGTAAGAAGGCTATCTTCAACTGTTTTGGTAATCCCCCGTGTTTAACTTAAAACTTGCAGTGAGCCCTTCCATATCTCTCCGGAACCCCTCTATTCCTGTTTTAGGATGCACAATGCCTTCTACAGCCCTTACTACATCCCTTTGAGTCCAAGCTCTATAGACCTCTAGGGTAACTGGTTCTCCCCTGTCCCCGGCCCGGGGGTTGGGCAAAGCTATGAGTGGATACTGTGCCTCTTCATCATCCTCTAACCACTCTGTTTCCCAGCTCTCCTCTTTTCTCCCTGGCTTGTTATAATTCACTAATCTTTTCAACTCTCTGGGCTTAGACTCCCTACATTTTCCTACCCTTCTCTCTCTTTCCAGTTCCCTACCCAGTCTGTCTACATTCTCCCTACTCTCTCTGAATTTGAGTTCCTTTTCTAACACATCCCCCTCCCCCTTTTCTTCACTAATGTCCCCCCGTCTTGGCCGTCATATGGCGGGGGAGGTGCGGGGACCTGTCCTAATCTTCTACACACAACAACCTCATCATCTGGGTTTTCCCTCCAAGCCTGTTCTGCCAGAACTGGATACAACCTCTTTGTCCCCGGCGGAGCAGATGGGCCTTAACCTCCTCTTTACTTTCCTGCTCCCTTACTTCCTTTCTCTTGTTTTCTTCCACTCTCTTTCTAGCTTCTGATAACCATACCTTGGCTGTATCTAAGGCCTCTGCCTGCAGTTTTTTTTAGATCAGTACCACAGTTTACATGCATCTGTTTAATCATAGATTCTAACTTGTCTACATCAAGACGTCCAATAAACCCATACTTTTTCCTCCATCTGGGTCCATTGTATACATGCCTTTTATCCTTTAACTCCATATACCTTTCAACCCCGGTTAATTCCCGGACTTCCTTTGAGGATTTACTTCCCATGTCGACTATCTAGATGTTATATTTATTGACGGTCCCTGACCGTCTTACTATCACCATTTAATCCCTGAAGTTTCACCCCCGTTTTATATTTATCTAGAATACTGGCGCATGGGTTTTCTCTAGATAAACGTCTAAAAACGCCAAAGTTTACTTCCTTCTTGTATACTTATTGACAATCCCAGATTGTCTCAACACAAGGTTAGTTTATTTTTGGTAATGGCCTCTACTACCATGAGTCATTACATTACATTTACATTTTAGTCATTTAGCAGACGCTCTTATCCAGAGCGACTTACAGGAGCAATTAGGGTTAAGTGCCTTGCTCAAGGGCACATCGACAGATTTTTTACCTAGTCGGCTCGGGGATTAGAACCAGTGACCTTTTGGTTACTGGCACAACGCTCTAAACCACTAAGCTACCTGCCGCCCAGGTACGGACTCACCCTTCTCAATTAGATCTTACACCGGCTCGAAGGACCAATTGTCACAAGAATTTCTCTCTCTTACAGTTACTCAAGCTTTGAATAATTCCCAGAGGTTGTAAGGCTCTGGTTAATTAAGAATTAAACAAATTCTCCAGTCTGCAAGAGATCAGCAATTTTATTCAGAGAGCGCTCTGGCGCTAAAAACACACACAGCCTTTTTATATGCGTCCACACAAAGGACTTTGCTCCGCCCACCTTTAGGCGGCCTGTAAATTTCCACAGTACAGAATGTTTAAGTGTGACAGTTTCTAGGTATCCTTTCTCCTGGAATGTTTGTCTCAGCAGTTTCTAACCCTTCTCTGTTAGTGGGTTTATTGTCTTATAACTGTAACACAGTTTACACAGTCATACAGTATCGGGGTGGAAAACTTTTAGTCATTACTCTAACCATACAAATTCCTCTATCAAACAGCGACAAATGAAACAGGCACAGGGGAAACTATCTACCCTGGCAATACACTGTAACGGTATCTCCATACAATACATAGGCACAGGGGAAATGTCTACCCTGGCAACAAAATGGTACGAGTAGCTCCACCGAGCTACACTACTCTCACATTCAAACAGGGGCGGTGTGTTCATTAGGGCGATATGGGCGACGCACTGCCAAACGGGAAAAGCAAGGGATTTTTTTTCTAATCAATTATATCACGGCAACAGTAGTTATCAGTGTTCTAATCTAGACGTCTGATCTGCCACTAAATGTCCAATCAGGCTAAAGTCGTGCTTCAAATGGCCCCGCCCGTTTTGTGGCGATTTCAGTCAGGTTGAAAATCGCCCAGAAGTCTCTCATAGCCTCTCATGTAAAATCTTTTTTTTTCAAATATCAGAGCTTTCAATACAATCTCTATGGGTTTCTGAGGGCTTGCACTTACGCGCTTTCGTCATACGTAACATAACCATGAACGTAACTAAGAAAAGAGCGGGTAGCAGCGTCAATCAATTCACGTACTACTATCATGATGGCTAGCGTTCAGTGCAACTCGATTGTCTCTTTGAAAGAAGTTCACATCAAAGACCATTCAAAACGAGCTACTGGAGTTTATGCTAGCGGTCATGAGGGAACATATTGTGGAGGAGGTGAAGTCGGCGAACTTCGTAGCTATCCAAGCTGACGAGACCACGGACGTTTCTACACAGACACAGCTGGTGCTGAGGTACAACCACAAAGTGCAGGAGCGCTTTTTTGAGTTCCTTCCCATCTCGGAATCAACCTCAGTCTCAATCGCCAGTGTGCTTTTGGAGAGACTGAACGGTCTTTTTGCCGACGACGAGAAAGTCAAACTCATTGCGCAAGCTTACGATGGAGCCAGTGTGATGAGGCGAGAGAAGGCTGGTGTGCAGCAAAAGGTACGTGAGCATTTCAAGAATGCCCATTACGTGCATTGCTATGTGCATCAGCTGAATTTTATCATGCAGCAAGCTACTTCTCGCATCAAAAAAGTAACTAGTAAACTAGTCCTCAGCATGCCTGATTTCAATGAGAAAGTCATTGACCGCTTTGCTGCATTGAAAGAGAGAAGAGAACAGTTTCAGTACAAGTAATGTAGCCTCTCTCTCTCTTTGTCCCTCCCTGTCTGTCTCTTTAACACACACACGCCCAAATCAGTTCACAGTTGATGTTGTTTAAAATAGTTATTTTTCATTAAAAAAAAAGTAAAACTTTTTTTTTACAAATCTATACAATTGGCCAGAATATGGTTGTTCATATTTACAAATCTATACAATTGGCCAGAATATGGTTGTTCATTTTTACAAAGCCATACAGATAGCTGTGTTTACCTTTTCTATAAATTATTTTCAAATTCTGTTTTCAGGCAAAATGTCTATCGCTGTTCATTTTCACAAATCTATACAAGAGGGCAGAATATGGAAGTCTATAAAAATTTCCTATTACCAATAACTTGCATCAATGTTTTCAGTAGCCTCTATCAAAAGCTCCTGCTTGCTTGTTGTGAATTATGCTCAGGTGCACATATTTCCAATTCAACCATGAGGCCTTTTTGAAGCAAGTAATGTGTATATCAGTATTGACTTATATGCTGCCCCTGTCTTCATGTTGTTGCTGGACATATCTTTTTTAAAATGTGTGTAGGTCACCTAAATCATCAGAAAAATTGCCCCCCCCTGAGAATTTTTTCAGGAGCCGCCACTGCATTCAAACAATCACCCACAAGGACAAGGGGGCAGAGGGAACACTTATACATGGACTAATTAGAACCAGGTGTGTGTGATTGACAAGACAAGACAAATGTGATAATGATAATTGGGGCGGCAGTGGTTAGTAAGCCGGTGACGACGAACGCCGAAGCCTGCCGGAACAAGGAGGGGAGGCAGCCTCGGCGGAAGTCGTGACACAAGTTGTTCGCTAACAAAATGATAAAGGAAGATGTCAGTGTTCGATTATGTGGAGAACGAATGAAAAGAGTAACAGAATTGAAGTATCTGGGGCTATGGTTTGATGAAAAGCTTACATGGAGACATCATATTACATGTATTGAGACTAAATGTAAGAAAGTATTAAGTCTTATGAGAACAATATGTCATGCGTCAGTGTGTAGCGGTAGGACGGAGTCAGGCGCAGGATACAGAACTTAGTAAACGACGTATTTTACATAAAACAAAAGTAACAGAGCATATCTTCCACGCAGGGAAGAAAAATACCAGCTCACAAGAAAGATAGCAAAACAACAAACAATCACGCACAACACCATGAGGAAACCAGAGGGTAAAATAGGGAAACAAATTAACGTGATGATTGCGGTGGTCAGTCCAAATGAGAAAAGGGTATTTTGCCCCCTCAAGCCAATGTCTCCACGCCTTCAGAGCCTTAACAACAGCTAACAGCTCCCGGTCCCCGACATCATAGTTTCGCTCCGCCGGGATGAGCTTCTTCGAAAAAAAAGCACAGGGGCGGAGCTTTGGTGGCGTACCCGAGTGCTGAGACAGTACAGCTCCTATCCCATCCTCGGACGCGTCCACCTCGACTATGAATACCAAGGAAGGATCCGGATGAGCCAGCACGGGAGCCGAGGTGAACAGAGCCTTCAGGTGACCAAAAGCCCTGTCCGCCTCAGCTGACCACTGCAGGCGCACCGGTCCCCCCTTCAGCAAGGAGGTAATAGAAGCCACTACCTGACCAAAGCCCCAGATAAACCTCCGGCAGTAGTTGGCAAACCCTAAAAATTGCTGCACTTCCTTTACCGTGGTTGGAGTCGGCCAATTACACACGGCTGAAATGCGGTCATTTTGACTCGTGCAATGACTCCGTCATACTCGCAATGAGCGGTAGTGGATAACTGTACTTAACAGTTATCTGATTGAGACCTCGATAGTCAATGCACGGGCGCAACCCTCCATCCTTCTTCTTCACAAAAAAGAAACTTGAGGAAGCAGGGGAAGTGGAAGGCCGAATGTATCCCTGTCCCAGAGATTCGGAGACATATGATTCCATAGCCGCCGTTTCCTCCTGTGACAGAGGATACACGTGACTCCGAGGAAGTGCAGCGCCCTCCCGGAGATTTATCGCACAATCCCCCTGTCGATTGGGTGGTAATTGAGTCGCCTTCCTTTTACAGAAGGCAAGAGCCAAATCGGCATATTCGGGGGGGAATGTGCATAGCGGAGACCTGGTTTGGACTCTCCACCGTTGTTGCACCTACGGAAACACCTACACACCTCCCCGAGCACTGACGTGACCATCCCTTGAGAGCCCTCTGTTGCCACAAAATATTGGGGTCATGAGAGGCTAACCAGGGAATCCCCAACACCATGGGAAACACAGGAGAATCGATCAGGAAGAGACTGATTCTCTCCTCATGACCCTCCTGCGTTTTCATCCAGCGTGGAGCTGTGACCTCCCTAATCAGGCCTGACCCTAAAGGGCAACTATCTAAGGCATGTATAGGGAAGGACACATCAACAGGAAAAATAGGAATCCCTAATCTATGTGCAAATAGACGGTCTATAAAATTCCCAGCTGCGCCTGAATCTACAAGCGCCTTATGCTGGGAATGCGGGGAAAACTCAGGAAATTCGACGTGAACACACATGTGAGCAACAGGGAGCTCTAGGTGAGTCGGGTGCCTACTCACCCGGGATGGTCATCCAGTGCCCTGCTTGCTGCCTCGATTCCCTGAGGACCCTCTCCAGCACCGACCAGCAGTGTGTCCTCTGTGGCCACAGTTGGTGCAGGAAACAGCCCTCCTTCCGGTAACCCTTAAATCAGACCTCCGAGCTCCATCTGTGTAGGGTCGGAAGTGCTGGGAGATGGACTGGACGGACCCTGATCTGAACGTCCGCGGGTGGCCAACAGGTTATCCAGCCATATAGATAAGTCCACCAGCTGGTCCAGGTTGAGGATGGTGTCCCTGCAGGCCAGCTCTCGACGAACGTCCTCCCGTAGGCTGCATCTGTAATGGTCGATCAGGGCCCTCTCATTCCATCCCGCGCTGGCTGCCAAGGTCCTGAAGTCCAGTGCGAAGTCCTGTGCTCTCCACCTCCCCTCTCTGAGGT